AAAATAGTCTGCGGGATGACTTACCGTCATCATGTAGCATTGAAAGGTTCCCTATCTTTTCATCTTCCATGGTTTAAATAATTTTGTAATATTTGACTGACAACTCAAGGTTTTAAAATATATCTCTTTCAAAACATCAACTTTAGATTCAGAGTACAGTAATCTCACTTCATTTACTGGTCTTTAATGGAAAGATCTGCGAACAAAATATATTCTAGGTTTTAACCAAGGGGAGCAATGTAACATGATCTTATGGGCCAACCGTGGCAACTATTAGAAAAGAAAAAATGTGGGACCAGCAGATGGTGTAATGGTTATGTCACTGGACTACAACATGGCTGACGGTGGTTCAAGTCCCAGACTCGGTGGCTTCAAGCTCATGATGGGTGCTTGTGTGCGTATGCCCAAAATCCCAGGAGGAAAATGGAGAAGAGATTCCAGTGTGGCCACCCTTACTGGTGTGTGTGGGTGTGTGTGTGTGTGTGTGTGTGTGTGTGTTATTTCTTGCTTACTATTTCTCTGTCTCTCTCTCCAGTGAGTGAAAGCCCCCTATAGCAAAATTCCCTCTAAAAAAAAGAAAAGAAATCACATGTGAAGACTTTCTATAGATTGAAGAAACATTCTTTCTAGAGAAGAATGAACTCAGAGCCTTGAAGACAGACTCTATAGTTAATTCTTATTTATTCTGTATCAAATCCTTAGCACCTAATTTAGCATAGGTGTGGTATTTAAAGACTGAGTGACCTTTGAGTGAAACTAGCTGATTTATAAGTAACAATATATCAAAGCTGTGAAAACTCCGGTTTTCTAATAGCAAATCTTTTCTTTGTGTTTGGGCAGGTGAACAACTGCATGCTGCCCCCAGGATACTAATTAGATCTGCTTGACTCAGGACACTAAGGCTCAGTGTCTGCAGAAGCCTTTTACCAATCTCATTTGGGCTATGGAGACAACATGTCTTCACCCGGAGAGGTTAGAGCAGAGTCTGGTAGGTTCTCATGCCACTGTTGGGGGTGTGGGAGCAGGAGGAGCTGGAGCAGTGTGTTTGGTACTGAATCTATGGAAGGACCACCTGAGATTCGTTAACCTGTAGATTGGGATGCTCTGTCTGGGGGGCCCAAGACTGCATTTCTTTCATTTAAAAACAATTGTCATAGGGCATGTACACTCTCTGGAGAAAGAGAGAAAGAGCAAGAAGGAAAGTGACCCCATCTTCCCATGGGAGAATGGTCACACTGTAACCTCTTCTCCATTTCTCCCTTGGGGATTTGGGCACATATGCACACATGCCTGGCTTATTTCTTAAGCCACCAGGTCTTGTACATGAATCGTGTAGTTGGCCATGTGGGATCTAGCTGCTAGTTCCCCAAGACTGCATTTCTAACAAAGTATCATACTTGGTTATTGTAATAACCAGGTTGTTGTAAAGCTGTAGAGAATGCGGGAGTAGCAGATATCACTTTGAGATACTGAATGTATTTCCTTTGGATATATACCCAAAAGTGAGATTATGTAATAATTTTGAGGGCCTTCAAAAAGTTCAGAAGAAAATAGAATGAAGTATGAGTTTATTTTGGCACATAAAAGAGTGAAATCCATACATTTTTTTCATTTTATATATATATGAACTTAAAAAATTTTTTTAAAAAGGTTTTTGCATACATGCATGTGCACTTGCTGGAGAGACACAGAGAGACAGAGAGAGGGAAAGTGAGAAACAACCCCCTACCCCTAGAATGGATGGCCATGCTGCAGTCCCTTCTATTCCATTCTTTTGGAATTTGGGGCATGCATGCATATGTGCCTAGAGTGATTTTTAAGCTGCTGCTTCTGGGACTTGAAATGCAGTTGGTCTTGTGGGAGTCCAGTGCCTTAACCACCATACCACCTGCTGGCCCTCCATGAACTTTTTAAAGATTCACTCAGATTTTTAATTTTTTGGTGAAATTATATACATTTTTCTGTAATGACTGTACCAATTGACATTCCTACCAGTAGTGTACACCAACACATGTTATTTTTCATTTTTTGGATAATAGGCATTCTAACAGATGTGAGGTGATTTATCCTTATGGTTTGAATTTCCTTGATGATTAGTGTTATTGAATGTATGTCATGATCTTTTGGACCATTTATATGTCTCCTGTGGAGAAATACCTGTTCAGGTTCTTTGCCTATTTTCATCCAGGTTATTATTACTATTATTATTATTATTATTTTGCTTTTGAGTTTAATAAGTATATTTTAGAAATTAACACCACATCAGATAGCTAGTTTGAAAATTTTTTCTCCTATTCTGTAGATTTTTCTGCTCATTCTGTTTCCCTTGCTATAGCGAAGCTTCTTTCTTTCTTTCTTTCTTTCTTTCTTTCTTTCTTTCTTTCTTTCTTTCTTTCCTTCCTTCCTTCCTTCCTTCCTTCCTTCCTTCCTTCCTTCTTTCTTTCTTTCTTTCTTTCTTTCTTTCTTTCTTTCTAGAGATTTTTGCTATAGGTCATGTGCACTTGCTGGAGAGACAAGTGAAAAATCATGCCTTACCCCAGGGCAATGGCCACATCACAATCCCTTCTCCTCCATGCTCCTCTTGAGATTTTGGGCACACATGCACACATTCCTGGCATGAGTTTCAAGCTCCTGAGCACTAGAATCATGGTCAACATTTTTTTTTTGAATAATTTTATGGCTTCAGGTCTTATATTTAAGTCTTTAATCAATTTAAGTTGATTTTTGTATGTGGTGTGAAGTAAGGGTCATTCCTCTGCATGTGAATATCCAGTTTTCCATATATTGAAGAGACTATCCTTTCTCTATTGCGTGTTCCTGGCACTCTCACAGAAGATCAGTTGGCCATGAATGCATGGATTTCTTTTAGAGTTCTCTGATCTGTTGGTCCGTATGTGTGTTTTTATGCCAGTGCCACATTGCTTTGGTTACTGTAGCTTTGTGATACAGATTAAAATTAGGAAGTGTGATACCTCCAGTTTTGTTCTTCTTGCTCAAGGTTGCTTTGGCTCTTCAGGGTCTTTGTGGTTCCCACCCTAGAAATGTAAGCAGAGCTCTGTGCAGGGTAGGCAGGCTTCGCCTAGCTACTTTTTTGAACTTGCAGCTTCAACTACATAAGTCCTTCTGGTCCTTCTCATACTCTGAAAGAAAGACCAGAAAACAGCCCTCTTTCTTGTTGTGGTATTACTTATCCATACACATATATTGTTCCCGGTTTTCTTTTTCCTTTTATATAGACTTGCTTTTGACCTTATGTCCATAATTACAGCTTTTATTCTTTGGTTGAGTTATTTCTTCAGGATAAAGTCTCAGGATAGGTATACTTGAGCTAATCGGTCTGAGTTTTATACTGGTTTTCCTATCTATTGCCAAATTATTTTCCAGAGGATGGTAAGTAATTTGCTAGTGGTATATCAGCTCTACTGTAGCCTCAACAGCATTTGTGCTATCACAAGAAGAATTGTTGCTAATTTAGTTGAGAAGTGATGCAGCCAGCTTCCCTTACGTTGTGTTTCTCTGATTCCTGTCCAAGGTTAGTTACCTCCTTTCGTTGTAGCTCATTTTTTAAAAAACCTACTTGATGCTCTTACTCTTTCTGAGCTGAGTGTGCACTACCAGTTTTAACAGTGCTTGGTTTGATCTCTTTGATTTGTTCAAGAACCTGATGAAATAATAAATTTTCATGGAACCTTTCCAAATACAATTTTGACTCAGCTTCTTTACTGTTTCATATCCTAAATTCTCCATGCCTTCGTTTTCACTTCTATAAAAGGAACAAAAGAGGACACAGAAAGATTGTTGAGGAACCCTTTATTTAAAACATTTACAAATTAACATGTAAGTGACCAAACTAGATGGATTTTCTTAAAAGAAATTATAATGAAACTAGCAGTTTTCATGATATTTTATTGGCAGAACTTTCTGGATTCTAAATATATTTTCTATATTCAAAATATTACATCCTGGTATACTAATTTCTAGTTTTATTCTATATTGCCACCTAGTGAATGGTTTCTTTTCTCCAGGAAAGAGAACGATTTTGAAATTCAAAAACTTAAAACAGTTATAGATGGTTTTAAAGTCCAAAATGAGAGAGAGCACCAAGTAACTTTAAATGAATTGAGATCTTCAGCTACAGACACAGTCCCAAAATTATTTATTGAAAGCATTTTTAGTGTAACTGGAATTTGTATTCTCTTTTTTAGGCTTCCATGGGCTTCATTTATATCCCTGTAAAGTACTTGTTTATTGTGTCATGTTATAGTTATTTTTATATTTCTCTATTGAAGTGAAAATTCCTTGGGGATAAAGATTGAGTCTTTTTCCTCTTTTTTGGAGAACCTTAGGACTTTGTATATTATTGATACTTAGTAAACATTTGTTGAGTAGAGCAGAAAAAGTACTACTGGGCGGGTCTGTGGTGTGATGGTTACAGCAGCTGGATCCCACATGGACAGCAGTGTGGTTTGAATCCCAGACCCAGCTGCTTCAGAGGCATGCTGGGTACATGTGTATGTATGTCCAAAATCCTGAAAGAATGGAGAGATGAAAGAGAAACCATCCTCCCTGAGGGGTGGTTTTTGCTTTTTCTGTCTCTCATGAATATGTCCTCAGGCAAATAAAAAAACAAACAAACAAAATAAAACAGGAAAGAAGTGTTACTAATTTGTAGTTTCACTACTATGTTGCAAGAAGTGACAGTTTAGCCATTTTGCTTTATGGCCAATTTTTATTACTAAACAGATTGTTTGTAGGCCCAGAGGATAGAAGGATGTGATCTTTAGGAACTGGATTTTCCTAAGAACAAGGCAGGCTAACTCAACCTTTAGCGAGAGTAGTTTAGTGCAGCCCTGGATGGAGAGGAAGCTCTCTCCTTGGTGGGGAAGATGCTCTTTTTCCTGGCAGTGCTAAGAGTAGGATGAACCAAACCCCAAACCCCAGGGAATTCTTTTTTTTTTTTTTTCCTTTTTTTTTTTTTGAGAGGTTTTTGCTATAGGGTGCGTGCGCTCACCAGACAGAGAGAGACAGAGAGATGGAAAGCGAGAAATCACTCCCCAGGGGGGATGGCCACGCTGCAATCTCTTCTTCTCCATTCTCCTCTCGGGATCTTGGGCACACACGCACATGTGCCCGGTGTGAGTTTAAGCCACCAGGTCTGGAACTCGAACCGGGGTCGACTACATGGGAGTCCAGCGACATAGCCATTATGCTAACTGCTGGTCCCTTTTTCCATTTTTTAATTTAATTTTCTTTTATACATTCAGTCACAATATTTAGGTTACAAAGTGAATATTTCAATAGGTGAACATTTCTCCCTAGTCCAGTTGATAAAACTATAAAGTATCTTCAGATAATACCACATTTCTTTGTCCCATTAATACTTTGCTTCCCTATTTTTCTTCTAAATGTCCTTCCTCAGACCCTCCTTCTTCACACACACTATATCTGGTATTTACAACCATATACAGTGTTTCTATATCCTTTAGTGAATCAGTTTCAGTCATAGAGTGGGGACACTCAGTATATATTAAGTGGGGACATACAATGTCTCTCCTTGGCAATGTCTCTTCTTCATAGCCAAGGAGAGACATTGTATGTCCCCAGGGAATTCTTTGCCCTAAAGCCTCCCTTGGAGTCCTATTGCAAGGCCAAATAGATGTTTGAATCTAGCAATGCTTTTTGGAATTAAAAACTCATCCCTGGGGCTGGCAAGTGGCATGGTGATTAAAGGTGCTGGACTCCCACATGGCTGACCACAGTTCACATCTCAGACCGGTGGCTTGCTTTCTCACTTCCTCTCTCACTCTCTCTGATCAAACTGGAAAATAACAATGATAATAAATAAAGTTAAAATAATTCATAAAACACAACTCATCCCTTTATGGTACTGAGAAATGGTTGAATGTGCAGATTTATTTACTGATTTAACAAGGTCACTTTGAAGAACCATTGGCAAAGTCTGGGTGAAGATCCTCAGCCTTCTTCTTT